AGAGGAATCTCATTTACCGAGAAGGAAGAAATTAGGAATGTTCATTAGGTTTCACAATAAGGCAAATTTATTATTAATATCTTTATTGACAAAAATTAATTACAATTTTGCCTGATCTGAACTGAGGAAGGGTGGGTGGGGGTAGAGTCAAACCCAGCAGCACTCGGGGACTTCGGGATAACCAGAGATGAAGTAGGACTTGACCCATTCGCTGAACCTGACCATTCGTCATGTGACAGGATCAAACAGGATAGAATCATGTCAACGTAGAGAAAGAGGAGAAAACTAGCACGTGCTCGTTGTATTAACATGTCAATGAAAATGTGGCAATTACCAGTTAGACGTGAGGCAATGTAGTGGGGGAGAGTGAAGGGGGGGGGGGAGAAAGGTGCAGAGGGAAGAAGAAGAGAGAGAATGGGAGAGGGGGAAGATTGAGAGAGAGAGAGAGGGAGGGCAGAAAGGAGTAGATGGGGGTAGGGGGGGGGGGAGACCCGGGCATCGCTTGGTACCTCATCTTGTTACTATATGTAAATTCATATTTGAATTATTTCATTATTTCACTTAGAGTCGGATTTCAAATAATAGATTAAAAATAAATCCATTGCCTGAGTGCTGTTGCAGTCTGCAACATTTATAATGATCCCCTTAATATTATAATGATGATTATGACAATGATGGTGATGTAGAGAAATAAGAGTATACTCTGCACCATCACCATCATCTCACTGTTACTACATCAAGACTCCATGAAGGAAGCACAAGATCTACATTCTCTCAAGACCCACACTTCTCAATCTTAGGAAAAAGTTAGTCAGAAAACAAAGGAACAGTTGCTATAATATGTGAAAATTGCGAGACAATCAGGGAGGCCTGATCATGTCCCTTTGGATTTACTCTAATGTTGGAATCTGTGAAAAAGAAGATGGATATGTGAATAGGGTATTGAGAGCGCTGGAGGTGACTGCTGTATCCTTCATCAAGGTAACGTAAGTTAAAGGGGGGGGGTGGTGGTGTTGCCTTTATGTGGGTTACGAGGATCAATGACTTCGCGGCCGGTCTCTGACCTGGCTTAGGTAAATGTGACTATCTGTTCGCTCATGAGCTAAGTGAGTCCAGGCTGAATCAGGGTTAAGTGAGTCAAGGCTGAGTCAGGGTTAAGTGAGTCCAGGCTGAGTTAGGATTAAGTGACTGGATAACCCTATAGGTTATCATCCTATTGGTGCGGGTTGTACGTTCACTAACAGGATGAGTGACGCTGCCCAATACTGTCACTATGGCGGTGTGTTCATTCACAGGATGAGTGACGCTGCCCAATACTGTCACTATGGCGGTGTGTTCATTCACAGGATGAGTGACGCTGCCCAATATTGCCACTGGCGGTGTGTCCACTCACAGGATGAGTGACGCTGCACAATACTGTCACTGGCGGTGTGTTCACTCACAGGATGAGTGACGCTGCACAATACTGTCACTGGCGGTGTGTTCACTCACAGGATGAGTGACGCTGCCCAATACCTCGCCCTTCAGGACAACATTGTAAAATCTACAGAGACTCCACTGGGCCTGTCACCCACTGGCCTTGAAGCGAAGTGGATATTGAGGGAGGCAGCCAGCGAGCTACAATACCATTTCCCCTCACCATCACACTCCTCTCCCCTCACTATCACTCCTCTCTCCCTCACCATCAATCCTGTTCTCTCACCATAACCATCCTCTTTCCATTTCCATCCTCCTCCTCTCCCCTCACAATAACCCCTCCTTTCCCTCCCACCATCACCCCTCCTCTCTCCCTCACTATCATCCCTCCTCTCCCCCCTCACCATCACCCCCCCCCCCCCCCTCCTCATCAACACCATTAACCAGCCCTCCGAAAACACAGTCTAAATTTACACCGCGATCCTGCCAGATAGAGCAAGGCCCAGCTAACTTTACTGCCAGAGTGCTGTGGTGATATCCCGCGGCAAACTAATCCTAGCGGGTAGCGGAATGCGGCCTGTCGTTATCTATCCCCTCCTCCACCCCCTACCACAGTGGTCATGTGTTGCAAGGATCTCCCCTCTTACCCTCACCCCCTAGCTACAACCACACTACCCCTCCCCCACTCCTGGATACCCCCACTTGGGGCACAGGCGCCTGCCACCCCTCCTCAATGCTTGGGGACTCAGCCTCGAGGGACTCCTGTGTCAGACTAAGTGATACTCGCGTCAAAACAACAGTCACTCGCGCTAATTGTCAACTCGAGATAATCTCTCCTTGTTTACCTCGGGAGAGGTCTTACAGCTCCGTGGGGAGGTGTTGGTGTGGTGGTGGTGGAGGTGGAGGGTGTTGGTGGTGGGTGTGGTGGTGGGTGTTGGTGTGGTGGTGGTTATCTTGAGGTTATCTTGAGATGATTTCGGGGCTTTTTTTAGTGTCCCCGCGGCCCGGTCCTCGACCAGGCCTCCACCCCCAGGAAGCAGCCCGTTACAGCTGACTAACTCCCAGGTACCTATTTACTGCTAGGTAACAGGGGCATTTAGGGGTGAAAGAAACTTTGCCCATTTGTTTCTGCCTCGTGCGGGAATCGAACCCGCGCCACAGAATTACGAGTCCTGCGCGCTATCCACCAGGCTACGAGGTCCGGGGTGGTGAAGGGTGTTGGTGGTGGGTGTGGTGGTGGGTGTTGGTGTGGTGGTGGTGGTAGTGGGTGTTGGTGGTGGTGGGTGTTGGTGGGGGTGGTGGGTGTTGGTGGTGGTGGGTGTTGGTGTGGTGGTGGTGGTGGTGAGTGTTGGTGGTGGTGGGTGTTGGTGGTGGTGGGGGTGGTGGGTGTTGGTGGTGGTGGGTGTTGGTGTGGTGGTGGTGGTGGTGAGTGTTGGTGGTGGTGGGTGTTGGTGGGGGTGGTGGGTGTTGGTGTTGTGGTGGTGGTGGGTGTTGGTGGTGGTGGTGGAGGGTGTTGGTGGTGGTGGACGGTGGTGGTGGTGGAGGGTGTTGGTGGTGGTGGTGGGTGTTGGTGGTGGTGGTGGAGGGTGTTGGTGGAGGTGGGTGTCAGTGTTGGTGGTGGTTGAGGTGAAGGGGGTGAGATAACAGGTATATGTGACAAGCGAGGCGGTGTTGAAGGTGTGTAAATGGTTGTCGGCGGCAAGCTGACTTCCTTCATTATACCGGAGAGGGCAGTAAGTGGACAGATAGGTCCGGGGTGGAGGATAGGTCCGGGGTGGAGGATAGGGCCGGGGTGGAGGATAGGGCCGGGGTGGAGGATAGGTCCGGGGTGGAGGATAGGTCCGGGGTGGAGGATAAGTCCGGGGTGGAGGATAGGTCCAGGGTGGAGGATAGGGCCGGGGTGGAGGATAGGGCCGGGGTGGAGGATAGGGCCGGGGTGGAGGATAGGTCCGGGGAGGAGGATAGGTCCGGGGTGGAGGATAGGTCCGAGGTGGAGGATAAGTCCGGAATGGAGGATAGATCCGGGGTGGAGGATAGGTCCGGGGTGGAGGATAGGTCCGGGGTGGAGGATAGGTCCGGGGTGGAGGATAGGTCCGGGGTGGAGGATAGGTCCGGGGTGGAGGATAGGTCCGGGGTGGAGGATAGGTCCAGGGTGGAGGATAGGTCCGGGGTGGAGGATAGGTCCGGGGTGGAGGATAGGTCCGGGGTGGAGGATAGGGCCGGGGTGGAGGATAGGTCCGGGGTGGAGGATAAGTCCGGGGTGGAGGATAGGGCCGGGGTGGAGGATAGGGCCGGGGTGGAGGATAGGTCCGGGGTGGAGGATAGGTCCGAGGTGGAGGATAAGTCCGGAATGGAGGATAGATCCGGGGTGGAGGATAGGTCCGGGGTGGAGGATAGGTCCGGGGTGGAGGATAGGACCGGGGTGGAGGATAGGGCCGGGGTGGAGGATAGGTCCGGGGTGGAGGATAGGTCCGGGGGGAGGATAGGTCCGGGGTGGAGGATAAGTCCGGGGTGGAGGATAGGTCCGGGGGGAGGATAGGTCCGGGGTGGAGGATAGGTCCGGGGTGGAGGATAAGTCCGGGGGAAAAATAGGTCCGAGGTGGAGGATAGGTCCGGGGTGGATGATAGGGCCGGGGTGGAGGATAGGTCCGGGGTGGAGGATAGGTCCAGGGTGGAGGATAGGTCCGGAATGGAGGATAGGTCCGGGGTGGAAGATAGGTCCGGAATGGAGGATAGGTCCGAGGTGGAGGATAGGTCCGGGGTGGAGGATAGGTCCGGGGTGGAGGATACGTCTGGGGGGAGGATAGGTCTGAGGTGGAGGATAGGTCCGGGGTGGAGGATAAGTCCGGAGGGAGGATAAGTTCGAGGTGGAGGATAGGTCCGGGGTGCAGGATAGGGCCGGGGTGGAGGATAGGTCCGGGGTGGAGGTGGGTCCGGGGTGGAGGATAGGGGGGGGGTGGAGGATAGGTCCGGGGTGGAGGATAGGTCCAGGGTGGAGGATAGGTCCGGAATGGAGGATAGGTCCAGGGTGGATGATAGGTCCGGAATGGAGGATAGGTCCGGGGTGGAGGATAGGTCCGGGGTGGAGGATAGGTCCGGGGTGGAGGATAGGTTCGGGGTGGAGGATAGGTCCGAGGTGGAGGATAGGTCCGGGGTGGAGGATAGGGCCGGGGGTGGAGGATAGGGCCGGGGTGGAGGATAGGTCCGGGGTGGAGGATAGGTCCGGGGTGGAGGGTAAGTCCGGGGTGGAGGATAGGTCCGGGGTGGAGGATAGGTCCGAAGTGGCGGATAGGTCCGGGGTGGAGGATAGGTCCGGAGTGGAGGATAGGTCCGGGGTGGAGGATAGGGCCAGGGTGGACACAGATACCTGTAGCACACTGGTGCATGTAGCCCACAGGTGCCTGTAGCACACATGTGCCTGTAGCACACATGTGCCTGTAGCACACAGGTGCCTGTAGCACACATGTGCCTGTAGCACACAGGTGCCTGTAGCACACATGTGCCTGTAGCACACAGGTGCCTGTAGCACACAGGTGCCTGTAGCACACAGGTGCCTGTAGCACACTGGTTCCCGTAGCACACTGTTAATTGCCTGTAGCATACTGGTGCCTGTAGCACACTGGTGCCTGTAGCACACTGGTGCCTGTAGCACACTGGTGCCTGTAACACACTGGTGCCTGTAACACACTGGTGCCTGTAGCACACTGGTGCCTGTAGCATACTGGTGCCTGTAGCACACTGGTGCCTGTAGCACACTGGTGCCTGTAGCACACTAGTGGCTGTAACACACTGGTGCCTGTAACACACTGGTGCCTGTAGCACACTGGCGTCTGTAGTACACAGGTGCTTGTAGTACACAGGTGCCTCTAGCACACAGATACCTGTAGCACACTGGTACCTATAACACCCTGGTGCCAGTAGCACACTGGTGCCTGTAACACACTGGTGCCTGTAGCACACTGGTGCCTGTAGCACACTGTTGCCTGAAGCACACTGGTGCCTGTAGCACACTGGTGCCTGTAACACACTGGTGCCTGTAGCACACTGGTGCCTGTAGCACACAGGTGCCTGTAGCACACAGGTGCCTGTAGCACACAGGTGCCTGTAGCACACAGGTGCCTGTAGCACACATGTGCCTGTAGCACACAGGTGCCTGTAGCACACAGGTGCCTGTAGCACACAGGTGCCTGTAGCACACAGGTGCCTGTAGCACACAGGTGCCTGTAGCACACAGGTGCCTGTAGCATACAGGTGCCTGTAGCACACTGGTTCCCGTTGCACACTGTTGCCTGTAGCATACTGGTGCCTGTAGCACACTGGTGCCTGTAGCACACTGGTGCCTGTAGCACACTGGTGCCTGTAGCACACTGGTGCCTGTAGCACACTGGTGCCTGTAGCACACTGGTGCCTGTAGCACACTGGTGCCTGTAGCACACTGTTGCCTGTAGCACACTGTTGCCTGTAGCACACTGGTGGCTGTAGCACACTGGTGCCTGTAGCACACTGTTGCCTGTAGCACACTGTTGCCTGTAGCATACTGGTGCCTGTAGCACACTGTTGCCTGTAGCACACTGGTGCCTGTAGCACACTGGTGCCTGTAGCACACTGGTGCCTGTAGCACACTGGTGCCTGTAGCACACTGGTGCCTGTAGCACACTGGTGCCTGTAGCACACATGTGCCTGTAGCACACATGTGCCTGTAGCACACAGGTGCCTGTAGCACACAGGTGCCTGTAGCACACAGGTGCCTGTAGCACACTGGTTCCCCTAGCACCCTGGTGCCAGTAGCACACAGGCGCCATAGCTCTTGACCAAATAACATTTAATAATGAACTGAGCGAGCGTTTGGCTACCGTGTAATATACTTCAGGTTTTAATCATTTTTGCACTTGCCAAAATATTTTATGTAAGACTTTTAAACAAAATTATAAGTGGTTCTACTTCTTCAAGGACTTAATTGTTGTGTCTTGCTGTCCCAGGGAAGGAACAGGAGGGTGAGGAGCGGCTGATATATAGAGTTAGAAGAGGGGAGTGAATAGGAAGAGGAGGAGCAAGAGGCATATTGATAGGAGAATGGAGAGAGCATGAGTGAAGAATAACGATGAGAAGGGAGTATAGAGGAGAGAGAGAGCCATCCAAGCGGATGTTGGGTTAAGCAGGGAGGCGCAGTAGTGGGTGCAGCACCAACAGTGAGGGTGGTGAGCCCTGCCTCCTCCAGGATGTCGAGAGATTGTGCTGTTCGCAGCGTTCACCTTCGCCGCCCTGATGGTGTTTCCTGTTCCTGCTTCTCTCCGTCTTTCATTTTCAGATTATTTCTGATTCATTGCCGTTCCTCATTGGGGAGGAGATCAGCTTCTGTATTCAGTATACATTCCAAATGTCACTCTTACAGTTCCACTTTCATTGTGTGAATGGATTCTTTAACAATTAACTCTCTAGTTAAATTTTTGTATACCATTGAAGAGTTCTTCCTAATATTTCTGTGGTACATGTACTTCCTCTTGGCTTACGCCTCACAGCTCTTTAACTATTCCGGTGACATAACTCTGTCCTCGTATTTCTTCAACTTGGTTTTGTGTTCCGCGACATGAACAACAGTATCACAGAGTCAGTGTAAATTATATTACATGTTCAACAGTATCACAGAGTCAGTGTAAATTATATTACATGTTCAACAGTATCACAGAATCAGTATAATTGGACATTAAATTAGATAAACAAGATCACGTTCCTGTGATTATCTGTTATATGTTATGCTGATGATATTTGTATTATGGCACACAGTAAACCAAGGCTACAAGTATTACTTGATGCATTTTCCAAAAAAGTAGTAGAATGTGGCCTCATAATCTCTGTTGATAAAACAAGGGTTCTTATTCCCCATTCTCTTCATGCTAACTATACTATTAATGGAGTGCCCGTGGAGACTTGTGAGTCTTATAAATATCTTGGAGTCGAGGTTAATGATACAAATCTCATCAGCAACCTGCGCAAAAAACTTGTTGAGCGTCTTAAACCTCTCAAAACTCTTGTTGGCAAAGGATTTGGCATTAACATAAAATATGCTCGTAGTTTTTATATTGCCTTTATACGATCTCTTGTTGATTATTATGCCTTGCATCTTCTTAATTTTTCTCCTAAACAACTACAAGGCCTAGATGTAGTACAGAATGATGCCATGGGCATCATCCTGGGTTGTCCTAGAACTGTCAGAATTGTTAACGTGAGAAGGTACCTAAAATTACCTTCTATTTAGGAGAGAATAGTTCTAATTAGTACTATGTTTTGTGCCAAAACTTTCAAAAATAATGGTCCCCTCAGCTCTATTCAAATTAAATTGTGATCCATTCTAAACAATTTTGACTGTTCCCTCAATCCGCCGCAAAAAAGATCCTTACAGTGTGTGGCTCAGTTGTTGTGCCTATAATCTTCTGAAACTGAATGTGTCTCTTAACCCTGATAAAACTGTTCACTATATTCCCCCTTGGAAAGATGTGCAGGTCCCTATACATTACACACTCATCAGTGTAAAACAAATGTATAACACTGAAACTATGAAATGTATAACATTAGAAGCTATTGACAGTCATCTTCAAAATCTCAAACCAACTGAATCCAATGCCTTTACCGATAGCTCTGTGCAATTAGGCACTGGTAGAACAGGTTGTGCATGTGCAGTATATACAAGGAAATGAAATTGTCATGTCTAGTACTGAGTACCTTAAGCTCAGTGGTAGTGAAGTGATATTTTGGGACTCTAAAAGTGCTCTGCAGTCCTTAAATAATCCATCACAATTTATGTCTGAAGTAGCTTGTAATATTTAATGGAATGTAATTTTTGCCAATGATAATAACTATTGAATAAAATTTGTGTGGATCCCATCCCATGTTAGAGTTGGAAAACATGACTTTGTAGATCGATTGGCCAACGAGGCTTGCAGGAAAGAAAACATTGATAATGACTTTGAACTATCTAATGCAATTATTAGAAACATACAAATTAAAGAAATTACTTCAGATTTAGAAGAACTAAGAAATGCCCAGAGACCTGAAAGCTGCAGTATTAAAAGCTATGACAACTTTTGTAATATTAGGTATTTGTATGGTCAGCACAGTAACCAGACCAGGCAATGTGATGTAGTCATTGCGATTTTAAACCTCCTGGCCTATTGTACCACCAACTGTGTAACTATTTCATTGAATCTGATGTACTGGCCAGCAGTCCTTCTCTGGCTGATATCAAGGCCTTCTAACTTTCCTGATTTCTGTCTTAGGAGTAAAAATCAAAATTTTATAAAGTTAATTTTATGTTTAATGATAACAATAAGCCTGTCACCGTATCTGATGGCCAAACCGCAAGACGATGGGGAAGCGACGATATTTCGGTCCGTCCTGGACCATTATCAAACGACTTGACTTGACGGTCCAGGACGGACCGAAACGTCGTCGTCTCCTCATCTTCTGATGAGGTCATCATTTCATTGGTCATCATTTCTTCAGCCACGTTATTGTGACTCATCGTCTGCATATTAATGTATCTCTTTTCCTAATAATCATAATACCAACATTAATACACATGGAGAAATAACACTAAAGTAATGAATCAAAGGGAGTTCGAATCTTCATCACGGCTTCCACGGATTTTACCATTATTAATAATATAAATAATAATATTAATTGTGATTTTTAAATGACTGAATACTATGTATATATTAATACTGAGATGGACGAGGAAGCAAAATTATCGTTTTCCTAATGAGTGGTAATATTATTCCTCACTTGAAGACAGTTTGGAGTTTGTATATAACACAGTGTACCCTACTGGAGCTCAACAGCTGGTTGCCAGGCCTTGTGGACACTCAAGGCTTGTGTGTGTGTGCACGCGTGTGTGTGCACGCATGTGTGTGTGTATGTACATGCGTGCACGCGTGCGTGTGTGTGATATTTACTGAGAGCGTCTAATCTTAATGATCAGAGAGAAGCGGCTACTGGGCACGGCCAACAACGCCAAATGATCACGTATGCAAAAAAAATAAAGTCGTAAAAGCAGAGACAAGGTTTCTAGTGGTGGTGGATGACACACAGTGCGAAGTGGCAGGGTTATCTTGAGATGATTTCGGGGCTTAGCGTCCCCGCGGCCCGGTCTTCGACTAGGCCTTCTTTTTGCTACACACCCCCAGGAAGCAGCCCGTAGCAGCTGTCTAACTCCCAGGTATTTATTTACTGCTAGGTAAACAGGGGCATCATAGTGAAAGAAACTCTGCCCATTTGTTTCCGCCTTCACCGTGGATTGAACCCGGAATCTTAGGACTCCGAATCCCGAGCGCTGTCCACTCAGCTGTCAGGCCCCCTGTCAGGGTGGTTAATAATATGTATCAGGTGGTGGTGCTAGTTAATTGTGTAACTAGCTTCACAAGACTGTCACTTGCTTAGCTAAACGAACTATGGGGTTCAGTCCCTGAACCCATTATGTGCCTCTGTATCCCTTACTCCCCAACGCCCACTTGATGGGTATGGGGTGCATAATAAAGAAATGAATAGATGATGAGTCGGTCTTACTCAGCAGAGGATTCTGTGTCTGGAAAATATTCATCAAGGTTAAAGTCTGTTGGTAATAAGAGGATCAATAATAAATACAAGAATGGGTAAAATATATCAGTGAGGTGACCGGTCAGTTTGGTAGACAGTGATGTGGGTAAGACTCAGCAGGAGGGTCAGTCTGGGTAATACCTAGTAGGGAGGGTCAGTGTGGGTAATACCTAGTAGGGAGGGTCAGTCTGGGTAATACCTAGTAGGGAGGGTCAGTGTGGAGATAATACATGGTAGGGTCAGTGTGGGTATAATACCTAGTAGGGAGAGACAGTGTAGGTATAATACCTAGTTGGGAGGGTCAGTCTGGGTAATACCTAGTAGGGAGGGTCGTGAGGGGGCTTGGTGGTCGGCTGTCGGAGTGTGCTGCTCCATAGGACAGTCCTCTGTCCTTTTGTGGCCTTATGCTCCTGCTGCTGTCCTCTCCAATTGTGCCGGATCGCTTTTCCTTTTCCTTATGTTTAATTTTTCTCCCCCTCTCTTCTCCTATCTACTTGTCGTTTCTTGCTGACCTTTTGCTAGTTTTGGTTATTCTTTTGGACTTCTTCTATTTTGACGCCCGGGTGCTTGGGGAGGCATACTCTTGCGCCCGTAGAACTGTAGTACCCAACGTCGAGAGCGCGGAGAACCTTTTATTGTCAATCCTCCTTTCGTTACTGAACCCGATCTCGACGGACTGACGGTTCTTAAGGTGGCGTTTGTGGGGCGTATACTCACAACGCACCCCTGGGAGGCCCCGGCATGATTGGTGATAGCTTCTTGTTGGGTGTCCTGCTTCTAATTGTGGCTCCATGGTGGGTGTGGGGGAACATTCGTGAATGAACATCTTTCCTTGTTTCTATGGCAGATAATGTTTCCCTTGTACCCTCTCAGGCTCGTGGGGTGGGCGACCAAGCCCCTGAGTCGGTCTGTGTTGGAAGACCAGGCCCTGTAGCCCCTGCTGCATTGGGCCCCGACCTTGCTCTTCCTTTGACCCTCCTGACTATGCCCCTCCCTCCTCTGCAGTAGGGTCGAGTTCCCAGCCCCCAGTGGTAACCACCTCGTCCCCTGGCACGGCTCCGTCTCTCATTGTGACTACTGTGCCTTT